CACATTTTCAAACAGCCCGGGTATATGAGCAGCGAGTACTCGCACACTTGTTCAATGCTCATTACTCGAAAATTTTCGAGCATGAGCTCGAGCAATTCGAGTTTTTTCGAGTAATTTGAGCAATGTTTTTTTTATTATATTGATATGTTTGGTAGAAACTTTCATGATACAAAAAAGAAGGTAGTTCCATTTAATGACATTCGTTGTTGTTGCTAACCATTTGACTTTTAATAAAATTATGACATTTCATAAAATTCATGCTACCTGATCACCAGAGATAATATTTTTTTTTTTTTGTAAAAGTAAACAAAAATGTATGAAAATGAGTGAAGTTTAGTGAAGTTATTGAACATATATGAAAGGAGGGCTGCATGACCATCCGTCACCTCTCGAATTCAAGTACAGATTTCGATCATACCTTCTAGGTAATTTTTTAACCACTTAAAGAAATTATTGTTGTTGTCATAAAGATTCTAAAATGTATGCATGAACTTTATTAGGGCGAAACGAAACTATTTTGAGCACGGAAACAAATGTTGAGTCTTCAAGTGAAGTAATGTTAAAATTTGAAGAGGAGTTGCTCAGTGAAAATGTTTTCAAACCACTTAACGATATTGAAATATCCGCAGAAGAACTCGAGGTAAACTCCTTACCCTTTCGTTTTTATTTGATTTCTAATTTTTTTAAGTAGCTCGCAGAAGAGCATGAAGCAGAAGATTTCATCAGTCCACTCAAAGATGTGGAATATGATGGACTTGAAAATTTTGCCGGCTACATAATTTCGAAAATGGGGTTGACAAAACTAGGCTTCAGGACGCATGTAGAAAGTGATCAAAATTATACGTATGTTAACTGTTTATCGGAGGGCGGTCTGTACAAGCCTAATTCAAGTTTTTTGCATACATTGGAAATTTTGAATTCAAAATTTGTTGAAATTAATGGTGATTCGCTAACCACAAAGCCAAAATTTTTGCAAAATCTGATGAGAAATTTAAAAGTAAATTTGGACCAAAATATTATAAAAAGATTTTATTTGGGAAGAACATTCTTTAGAATTCGATTTTTAAATCGCAAGATTAAAGAAACGAAAATTGTATATCAAAATAAGAAAATGAAAAAAATAACAACATAATGCACTAATGGTTTTTATTATAAAATAAAAAGAATAATTACAATGTAACAGTTTACATTTTATATATTTTTAATAAAAGAGGGGCAAACCACGTAAGTAAAAAAATATCAAGTACTGATTGTGAGTTTTGATTTAAAATATTCTCACATTGGTAAAAATATGGGAAAGAAAATAATCCGATGTATTGTTTTAATATTATCAAAGTGGCAAGGCCGTTGATAATACTGACAATTTATGAAACTTCAAAAAATTTTATTATCCATCAAAAGTTGTTTATTGAAACTACCTTCTTTTTTGTATCATGGAAACTTTTAAAATTTTTCAATTATTGATATATAATGCAAGGATTGTTACATTGGTATTTAATAATATAATTTATTTAACATGAATTAGAAAGCAGCTGCTGACAAATACAATTTACAAATTTTCTTTTGTTTATGAAATTGTTCAAAAACTCGAAAATTTTTAACAAACATTTGAGCAGTTGAGCAATGAACGAGTTTCGAGCGAGTATCGAGCTACTCGCATTGCTCGATACCCGGGTATCTAGAGCTCTACTATATACAACACATCTACACTTCATAACAAATCAAAATTGTAAAATTTTTCAATTTGCTGATGATTTTTTTATAGTTTGTTCACATCCCAAACAAAATCAAACCAAACAATTATTAAAAGACAAAATTAACCAATTTAATATTGAATGTAATAAAATTAACTTAAACATACATTTTCTCAAAACTAAAGTAATATATTTTAACCAAAGAAACTCTCAAATTATCATTCAAATTAATAATATTAATATTGAACAAGTACGTAAAATTAAATATCTTGGTAGAATTATTAACATAAATAATGCATGCAATGATCATGTTAATCAAATCATTGAGAAAACAAATAAAACGTGTCGTTTCCTTAATATTATTAGTGGTTGTAAATTTGGAATACACCCTTCGAAAGCACTTCAACTTTATAAAGCTTTTGCTCGTTCCAAAATGGATTATGCTTGTTCAACTTTTGCCAATATATCTGAGTCTGCTTTACAAAAACTTAATACTTGCTGCAATGCAAATATCAGGCGTTGTATAGGTCTTATTAGATCTACTCCAACTCATATTATTTATCATATGGCATCAGAATTACCATTCAAATTTCGTTTTGAATTGACAACAGCTAAAGAAATAATTAAATGCATTGCATATAATTTACCAATAAAAGACACAATTCTTACAAATGAACTTAATAAAAAAACTTGTTATTTTAAAATATATAATAAATTTAAATCAATTTTTTGTAATATAGTTTTAGTTCCAGATACTCCCCTTAATTCTCCAAAAATTAAATTTGATAAATTTTTTTTTAAAGGATCAATAAAAAATAAAAAATCTGCTAATCAAGATTTAATTTCTAAATTATATATTGAAAAACTCAAAAATCTTGAACAACAAAGTTTTGAAATAATATATACAGATGGTTCTATTAAAAATAACCAAACCCATTTTGCTTTTTTACACGAGAAATCATCAACTTTAAAATCCCTTTTCTGTGACAAAAAAATGTCTTCAATGTCAGCTGAACTATTAGCGATTTATAAAGCTATTGATTTTTCAATAATTAATCAATTTAAAAAAATTGCCATTCTTACAGACAGTTTAAGTAGTCTAATGACTCTTTCAAATGAGAACTGTAATAATTATATAGCAAAAAAAATGATAACGGATCTTAATAATTCATCAATTGAAATTTTAGAATTACATCATATCCCAGCCCATAGTGGTATTGAATTAAACGAAAAAGTGGATAAAGCAGCTTCCACTGCTTTACAGAATGGTCAAAGAATTCAAACTTTATGGTTTATTAAAGATGCTATAATAGAAATTAAAAGTAAAATAAATGAACAGTGGCAAGAATTTTATTCTAATAATATTATAACTAAAGGAAAATCTTATGGAGAAATATTTCCAAACATTCAGAATAAACCATGGTTTCATAAAAATTCAAATAAAATGACACCAATAGAAGTTAAACAAATTAATAGAATTCTAACAAATCACACTTTCTGCAAGGAGACATTATCAAAAATGAATATTTTTCAAACCCAAATTTCGAATTTTGTAATACAGTTGAAAATACTGATCATATAATTTTCAAATGTAACAAATATAACAATTCTCGTGATAAATACCCAATACTCAAAAACACTTCATCATTAATTGAATTTCATCAAAATACTAATGGCAAAGCATATAAATCTATCACTAATTTTTTAAAGGACATTGAAATTAATTTATAATTTTATAATTTAATTTAAAATTGGAGATGGCGTTTTAAGCTTTTTTGCTGGCCAATTAATTCTTCTTATAAAGAATTAGCAAGTAACTTAAAATTACAAAAAAAAAAAGGTTTCTAGAAATTTTTTTATCATAATTAAAAATCCGAAATTTAAAAAATGCGGTATTAGCATACCCAACAAGCAAAATAAACTTAAAGAAAGTTTTTTTTTTAAGTTTTCAATTATAAACATTAAGCTTACAAAACGTTGATTTTTTGTTTATAAAACGCTTGAAAGTAAGCGTAATATAATCGAAAACATTGGTTTTAAGCGTAGAAATATAAACTTTTAATAAATGATCAAAAGAAAGCTTTTTATAAGCGTAAAAGTGTAAACTTATAATAAAGGTTCAAAAAAAGTTGTTTATAAGCGTATGAATATAAACTTACTAAAAATTTAAAAAAAGAGCTTTTTATAATCATTTTTATAACCCTTTATTTAAAGATATTTCAATAAAAACTCATACATAGATTGCTTAACATCTAGAAACTAAAAGAAATGCGAATTTTCGGCGGACTCATCTACGAAAATGTAAATAGGGAATAGACATTTTAGCATACAAATTCACGATAACACACAAAAATTAAGCATAAAAAAGTTAATTATTATATCTTGTTGCGTGCTTTCAATTACAAGCGGTTATTGGCAAATTGGAAAAACGACATCGATGCAGCTATATATTCCGCTTCATCGCCGCCATTCTCATTGATGAACTTTTCTGAAAAAAATACTTTTTTAATTGAATGTCAAACTAAGAAAGGATAAGGAAAACTCATCATTTGAAGACTCGAATGCTCCACCGATTAGCGCAGCGGGTCCTGGATTGGATTTTTTTTACCGCATTGGCTTTATTTAATTTTTTCCTTTTAATAAAACATTTTAAAAAACGTAAACACGTCACTTACGATTGAAAAAATTTATATTTACTACTTCATGTCGTTGGCATTTGCATTTCATTTATAAGTTTAAGTTATTTATAAACATTCGCTCTCAAAACTTATTAAACGTTTATTTGAAAAAACTTTTAATAAGCTTAATATTAAAAATGCTTATTTAACGCTTATTATAGCAAACTTACTTTAAGTTATTTTTAAAAACATTTACTGAAATGCTTGTTGGGTAACTATAAAAAATATACAACCATAATTTATACTACAAGTAATTTTTAAGCAAAAAACAAAACCGACTTCAATTCTCATATAAAAATTTAAGATTATCGTTAATTTCTTCACGATCCGATGATCGGATTTAAACCAAATTAATATGGGACCCCCTGTGAGGTAACACCTCACCTAAAAAAAGAATTATAGAAATCGGTTAACGTGGTCCAAAGTTATGCTCCGACGAATTCATAACCTTTTTTTTACCTTCCTTTTATTAGCTCGGGATGTAACTATGTAATATTTACGCGCCTAAAAGATGCAGGGATTTCTATTCTCAAGTTACATACCTGATGACAGTACGAAAGGCAATTATAATAGGGAGGTTTTAGTTTTTTAAACTATAATTTTATTATTCTTTTTTGTGAAGTCGGTTAAAAACACATTTAATTCACTTACCAGCTACATCACAGAATTCGCCGAATCTTGTGCACGGCAGAAATTCTTCGGTGAAAGTTTGCAAAATTGTGTCTGTGGACTTTAGCATAGCTTCATCGTTCTTTCGTATGTAATCGAACAACGAAATCGACCAATCTTCCTCTTTCGGAGTGCTTACGGATTTGAATAGTACGCTATAGATTAAATCGATCAGAGCCCACATCATCAAAAATGGATGATAGACAATGTAATCTTTCGTTTGGCGATCGCTTTGCGATAAAAGTGCCTTGCACAGCACCGATGGTGAGATGTGACGCGCCTGAGCTACGGCTATTAAACGTTTCAAATGTGCCAATTTATGCTTATTCCATGTTTCATGGCTGTGTAATGCCAATGATATACTTAACATATACAACGGCCCCTCGACTTCATAACCACATTCCAACCACTTATCCGAAGGGGCGGCCGTCAAATATGCAATTAAGGTTTTGCAATCACGAGCGGTTGAGCGTGAGGACAACAGCAAATAAACTGCATAGAAGAGCAAATAGGGCACAAAGTGCATATTCGATTGGGGACCACCACCGCCAGCATCATCGTGGAAGCTACGCTCCCATGCGAATCGCATCAGTATCATTTTCAGATCGTGTATACTGCTGGGGAAGGAAATGTCACAACGTTGCGTGCTCTCTTGCATGTAACTGCTGTGACGTGTCATACATGCCGAGAAAGCGGCTTCCGAAACGTCTGGACCCCAAAGTGGTAGTAAACCGTTACAGCGAGTATTGGCGTTTTGCAAACTAGCACGTTCCCACTCATCACGGCCACGTGCCAAACGTATGGCCGAGGTATGGCAGTCCACATGCACCACATTAAAGTGTGTGACAGTGGTGTAACCAATAGTTTTACGCGACTTCAATTCAAACTCCTCAACATTGCAACGTTTCGTGAATGTGTAGATGCCCAGTACTTTGGCTGGCTGGCAGGCATAACCTTCGCGGCATATGAAGCAGGTCAGACCAGTTTCATCACGCAATTTTTCAATTTTTTGAAGTATAGAACCTTTAGCTGTCACTTGACCCTTCTCATTCGTGCGCATGCCCAGAGCGTCTAGTTGTTTCTCACGTGTGGCCATCGCTAAGCGTTTCTTTTCGGCGCGTGTGAAGTCACGCACTTCCTGTACCCTTGTTGCAGTAGCTTCGTCGGTGCACAAAGCCTCTAGAAGATTTTCTGCCAAACTGCCGACATGCTCATCACTGGATACTTGCTCGAGACGATGTATTATTGGTATAATATCTTTGCTGATGGCAAGCTGTGTAGCCTCATGTTTGCTTGCGAGTCCAGTGAGGAAACGTAGAATATACTTCAGGCTTGGACGCGAGATGAACTCTTTCAATTCATCGGAATCGGTGCGCAGTAGTGTTGGCTTAACGCAAGGTGCATGCTTGGTAATATAAGCGATGGCACGCTCAACAATACCCAATCCTACAATATAGTCTTTTAAGGTGCCACCGATACAGTTATGTTCTATTTGATTGGTTAGCACGCAGAAGAGCTCCATTTTAAATTCTTCTTCGGGTGTGCGCTCACTATCGAAATGGTTGAAATCGAGAATTTCCTGCAAGAAAAAGACATACATATTTAGAAATAATGGAGGATGTGCACTGAGAACTTGCTCTAAATATTTATTTTTATTTATTTATTTCAGTCTTGGTATGCAAAGATTACTCAACTAACACTAATTAAGTGTTACTAAAACTTAAAAATTAAGACAAATATTAAATACATTAAGTTCAAAAGTGCTAAGAGTAATCACAAGACTCGTCTTATCTTTTATTTCTTTAAAAAGTTTGGGAATAACTTAAAAAAAGTGAAACAAAATACTTATAAACACTTTATTACACTAATCTTAAACACTATATTTCTGTGTTCATATGGAAAAGTAGCTTATGTCGAAAGGCT